GTGTTTAAAATATTTATTTTGAAACAAATTAATTAATTACTTAGACTTACTGGGTGAGCAGGGTAGGCTAAGACAGCTGTCATATCATACCCTGCCATGCCCAGCTGATGCAAAGAATAGAATTTATATCTACACAGAAGAAAGCCCTGTCTAGAGTCTGCCCCAGTATGAGTTGTGTTGAGCTATTCATTAGTCTGTTTGTTTGATGAAAAAATATGAAATGTAGTTGCAATAAATGTGTTAAGAATCCGTACACCTGCAGCAGCGGAGGACTATTATTCTGCTGCATGATACTGCGGAAGAACTGATGACGGCACGGTTTGATCTGCGGCTGACCAATCAGCAGAAAGGGGCGTTTAATTCCCGCCCACGTGTAGAAATCCAATATTCAAGCTGTTTATTCATTTTTCCACCCAAGAACGAAAAACTAAAATTTAAGCTGAATTCTTGTTTTTCGTGTTTTGGAAAAAAACGAAAAAGGAGCCGTTTTCTCATTTTTCTATTTTCAATATTAAATCAAAAAACGAATGATCGAATGATACACGGATTCATCGGCTACAAAACACTTCCCTTAATGTTTGCAGAACCATAAAAAAAAGTTTTAAAAAATGCACGCTTTTTGAGTGTTTTGAGAATAAAATATAACATTTTCATAACATAACGGGAGGATTAGGAAAACGTTCTTAGAACATATTTTTGTATGGTAGTTTGTTTGCTGAGTGTGTGTGTGTGTGTGTGAGAGTGTCCGTGTGTGAGAGTGTTTGTGTGAGTGTGAGTGTCTGTGTGTGTGTGTGTGAGCGTGTGTGTGTGTGTGTGTGAGTGTGAGTGTGTGTGTGTGTGAGAGAGAGTGTGTGTGTGTGTGAGAGAGAGTGTGTGTGTGTGTGAGAGAGAGAGTGTGTGTGTGTGTGAGAGAGAGTGTGTGTGTGTGTGAGAGAGAGAGTGTGTGTGTGTGTGAGAGAGAGTGTGTGTGTGTGTGAGAGAGAGAGTGTGTGTGTGTGTGTGAGAGAGAGAGTGTGTGGGTGTGTGTGTGTGTGTGAGAGTGTGTGTGTGTGTGTGTGTGAGAGAGTGAGTGAGTGTGTGTGTGTGAGAGTGTTTGTGTGAGTGTGAGTGTGAGTGTCAGAGTGTGTGTGAGAGTGTTTGTGTGAGTGTGGGAGTGTGTATGTGAGTGTTTG